GATACATACAGCCACAGAACAGAAGTACAGACAGATACGTAACAGACATACAGACAGCCATACAGTACAGGTACAGACATATATGTAACAGACATACAGACATACAGACAGCCATACATGAGAGATACATACAGCTATACATGAGAGATACATACAGCCACATAACAGACGTACAGACAGATACATGACGGACATACAGAAAGCTACACATAAGAGGTACAGACAGATACTTAACAGACATACAGACAGCCATACAGTACAGGTACAGACAGATATGTTACAGACATGCAGACAGCCATACATGAGAGATACATACAGCCACATAACAGACGTACAGACAGATACGTAACAGACATACAGACAGTCTTACAGTACAGGTACAGACAGATATGTTACAGACATAAAGACAGCCATACAGTACAGGTACAGACAGATATGTTACAGACATACAGACATGCAGACAGCCATACATGAGAGATACATACAGCCATACATGAGAGATACATACAGCCACATAACAGACGTTCAGACAGATACGAAACAGACATACAGACAGCCATACATTAGAGGTACAGACAGATACGTAACAGACATAAAGACAGCCATACAGTACAGGTACAGACAGATATGTTACAGACATACAGACATGCAGACAGCCATACATGAGAGATACATACAGCCACATAACAGACGTACAGACAGATACGTAACAGACATACAGACAGCCATACAGTACAGGTACAGACATATATGTAACAGACATACAGACATACAGAAAGCCATACATGAGAGATACATACAGCTATACATGAGAGATACATACAGCCACATAACAGACGTACAGACAGATACATGACGGACATACAGACAGCTATACATTAGAGGTACAGACATATACTTAACAGACATACAGACAGCCATACAGTACAGGTACAGACAGATATGTTACAGACATGCAGACAGCCATACATGAGAGATGCATACAGCCACAGAACAGATGCACAGACAGATGCGTAACAGACAAACAGACAGCCTTACATGAGATACATACAGCCACAGAACAGAAGTACAGACATATACGTAACAGACATACAGAAATCCATACAGTACAGCTACAGACAGATATGTAACAGACATACAGACAGCATACATGAGAGATACATACAGCCACATACCAGACGTACAGACAGATGCGTAACGGACACACAGACAACAATATATTAGAGGTACAGACAGATACGTAACAGACATACAGACAGCCAAACAGAACAGGTACAGACAGATATGTAACAGACATACATACAGCCATACATGAGAGATACATACAGCCACATAACAGACGTACAGACAGATACGTAACAGACATACAGACAGCCATACAGTACAGGTACAGACATATATGTAACAGACATACAGACATACAGACAGCCATACATGAGAGATACATACAGCTATACATGAGAGATACATACAGCCACATAACAGACGTATATGACGGACTTACAGACAGCTATACATTAGAGGTACACACATATACTTAACAAACATACAGACAGCCATACAGTACATGTACAGACAGATATGTTACAGACATGCAGACAGCCATACATGAGAGATACATACAGCCATACATGAGAGATACATACAGCCATATAACAGACGTACAGACAGATACGTTACAGACATGCAGACAGCCATACATGAGAGATACATACAGCCATACATGAGAGATACATACAGCCACATAACAGACTTACAGACAGATACGTAACAGACATACAGACAGTCATACAGTACAGGTACAGACAGATGTGTAACAGACATACAGACAGCCATACATGAGAGATACATACAGCCATACATGAGAGATACATACAGCCACATAACAGACGTTCAGACAGATACGTAACAGACATACAGACAGCCATACATTAGAGGTACAGACAGATATGTAACAGACGTACAGACAGCCACAGATTAGATATATTGTTGGATATATCATACGCAGTAGTAAATTTACATTCTCCTCTTCATTTAAGTTTATGCTTGCACAGAGCACTGAAATGTGAACATTTTACAAAAGTAAGGCACGACTTTTGTTCTAAACCCATTCTCTAATATTGTGTGGTGATTAAGAGTTAACAGAAAAAGAAGACACTGGACCTTCGATATATTTTGTACCTGCGCCTGTAAATTATTCCCTCATTTTCCTCATACGGATCAAAGAAATTTGTGATTTATAGATAGAAAAAAAAAGAGGAAAGTTCTCTGTTTTTAGATCTATATAACAAACGGACAGATACAGATTTATATATTTTTACGTACGGTGTATGTTACTATAACAAACGGACAGATACAGATTTATATATTTTTACGTGCGGTGTATGTAACTATAACTAACGGACAGATACAGATTTATATATTTTTACGTACGGTGTATGTTACTATAACTAACGGACAGATACAGATTTATATATTTTTACGTATGGTGTATGTTACTATAACTAACGGACAGATACAGATTTATATTTTTTTACGTACGGTGTATGTTACTATAACAAACGGACAGATACAGAGATTTATATATATTTACGTACGGTGTATGTACTATAACAAACGGACAGATACAGATTTATATATTTTTACGTATGGTGTATGTTACTTTAACAAACGGACAGATACAGATTTATATATTTTTACGTGCGGTGTATGTTACTATAACAAACGGACAGATACACAGATTTATATATTTTTACGTATGGTGTATGTTACTTTAACAAACGGACAGATACAGATTTATGTATGTTGTATGTTACTATAACAAACGGACAGATACAGAGATTTATATATGTTTACGCACGTTGTGCGTTACTATAACAAACGGACAGATACATATATTTTTACGTATGGTGTATGTTACTATAACAAACGGACAGATACAGATTTATATTTTTTACGTATGGTGTATGTTACTATAACAAACGGACAGATACACATATTTATATATTTTTACGTACGGTGTATATTACTATAACAAACGGACAGATACACAGATTTATATATTTTTTACGTACGGTGTATATTACTATAACAAACGGACAGATACACAGATTTATATATTTTCACAATTTGTGAGCTACGTTTCTGGATTATAGCGCGCAGTCGGACTTTATGTGGCGTAAAGTTTTAAAATTTTCATGTTAAGCATTGTGTTTCTACAATAGTAAAATGTTGGATCAACGAAAATTTGACAATAGTTGCAGCTTGTCTATGTCATTCATAAACTGAATGTGTCCCACATTTCCTAGTCCAGTGACTGCTAAATAATCCTTATCAGTGTTACTTTTTGCATCTAGCTATGCTTTTGGTGTTGTATCTCAAAACGTTTAGTCCAACGCCACCTAAACTTATATACCATACAAGTAAATACAACTTTTTGTCATAAAGTGTTGGCTAACCGGAAGTTAAGGGGAGGTAACTGTATGACGATAAAACTACAGAACAATAAGACAGTGGTCCTTAATTCAATTACTTATCCTAGATTGAACAGTTCAGCTCTTTTTGTACAAAAGTCCGAGAACAGTACCAACTAAACCTCGACTTACATTTATGAACTACCTGGTGATTGCTTCAGATTCTTAAACGACGATTATACCACTAGACTTTTGTAACAGACACTTTAATAAGTAAGTTTTGCATTCAGCTAATATATTTAAAAGTATATTACCTAGTCCAATTAAATTTCCACTGTAAATTCATCTTCAGAAGTACATGTACATTTTACTGTTGTATACATGGATCATAAACTGTTACATGTAATTTCGTCCAGATATAAATTTTGTGTTTTGTTCCGATTCTCATTGTACTATTTGTGGCTAAAGAGGCAAAACATATTTTATGGATTTTTTGTTTATATAACAAATACAAAATAAAACTTGTGTATTATGACACACTGAGTTATTCAACCAATATGTCGGATTCCACAAGGTGTCCAATTAGACAGATTTCATTGTACAGGCACATTCCACCCGTGGTAAAGTTCAATTTTACGAATCAATCTATTGCAAGCAAAAATTGTTGTCTAAATTGTGAATATATTTTTTGTTATCTTGATTATTAGTACTTATAATTTTCTATTTTCAGTATACAGGACCGCCATCTTGATTCAGAACTACATGCTTGATTATCTCCCTTTGCTGACTGTGGATTTCTATGAATTGAAAAGAATCGTGTACAAGTTGATACAGAAAGATCACTGCTATTCCTGATTCCGACTGCTACCAAACACTTAATTAGACGTGAAGGTAGACAAAATAGATGATCATTAAAGATTAGCTCAAGTTGCCAATTATGTAATATCTTTTCAATTCTACTAATTAGCTCGTTACACCACAGAACCAAATGATCCCGAGACCCTGTAAACATACTTATTTTAGCAGTATAGTTATTTCTTACATAACGTACTTATAATCATGACTGATTCTCCAACTCTACATCTGCCAAGTTCAACATTTTCCTTCACAAAAATATTATATTAATCATCATTTTTTTAATTTAATTTTTTGCTGAAATAAGTATGTTTACAGTTCCCAATCAAACCAAAGACAAATGAATTTTTACAAAATCATAACACAAAGACATGGATTTTGGCGTAAATGGCTCACCGCCGAATTTATTAAATTATCTGTTTTGTTTTTATTTTGCTTATTATTCGCCCACCGGTTTCCGGGACATACCTTCTATACTATTCCACCTGGAGATGGGGGAGTGCAGAGTGCAAGAAGCAGGTCACTATGACCTCACTGTGACCTATGCTTCGACATTTGACCTTAACTTTTGAAAAAGTTTGTCCGGGGCATATCTTCTATTCTATTTCACCTGAAGTAACCAGATTTGGTGAACAAGGACATCTTGGTACATCATTTAGTGTACTTTTTGTTAAATATAGAAATCATAACCGGTGGAGGACTATGGATTGCCTTGTTTTTTTAATGATTTTATTTTGCCACCTAAGTTAGATCAGAATATGCTGGAGAGCAGGCTACCCAACCCTACCCCCATTTAGGAGGAGGGAGGTAGGTTTTCCTTTGGCTCTGACCAGCTGGCAGTGTTGTCTCACCTCTGATCGTGCCCTCAGTTACATATTAACAAAGCAAATCGCTTCAACCATTAAAAGGATAAATGACCTTATCTCAATGCCTATAATAAGAAAACATCTAGATGTATGGCGTCTGATTCTCATTACATAATATTCTATCAAAATTGTTCAGCAGTTATTTAACAAGATAATGTCTGAATTTGTATAGGACTACATGCTAATGTAACTTAGATAACATGTCACTGAATAGTATGACATAGAATGATGTTGGCAAATCTAAATAAAAAATATCAAAAGCACTCTTTTTCAGCCAGTGAATAGATACATGAACTTCAGTTGTTATAAATTTACAATCTACGGTATTTCATAATTTTAGGGTCAAATGTTCTTAAGTCACTTGGTTTCTGCTATCTTGTTGGCACAGTTATAGTAAATGTCCCTCTATACGAATTGGAATATTCCTCCTTCACAAGTTACAAATTCAGCAGCATTTTGGTGTGCAGATACAGATGCTGTGGATACCAAGTATTCAGGACACGTGTTGTAATTTACTGAAATGTAAAATAAGAACGACTTTAAAAATCTTTGTTAAACATTAGCTTATGACAAGAAATTCAGTGTTTAACACTTTGCTCAAGCTCACATACTCGTCATAGCAATAACTCATTAAGTGAAAGAGATCAATTAGAATTAGGTGTGGAACATGTACCACCCTGTGATTTTAGACCTTGGGTCAAAACATGAACAGAACATCACTATAATGTGTTCTGTGAGAATGTCTCTAACGATTTTGTGTTTTAAAGTGTCAAAGTCACTCTCTAAATAATATGTTATCACAAATTTATATCTGGCCAGATTTTGATTAAACTCATTAAAATGTATCTATCAAGTAGGAGAGTACATTCATATGCAATATATAAACAGAATGTTATACATGACTTGTTTGCAATGTCTTGGTAAAGCTAGATTCAATTCACCTTACCTAAACACTAGACTGGCGAAATCCAATCTGATCACGAGGATTTAATGTATGCACATTCTGCGTATTGCCGAGTTATCTTCTCTTGGGAGCAGGTATCGATTGTTACGTCACTTGTTTGTGAGAGGAACGTCATCATTTTTGAGAAAACTGCGTAATTTTCTCACACAGACCAATGACGTACAATCAATACCTGCTCCCAAGAGAAGATAACTCGGCAATACGCAAAGACGGAATTCTCAGCATCTCGATATTGTATTATCTCCTGTAAGGAAAATATAAACACTAAATATTATTCATTCTGATTTTGAAAAGCTGGATGCATTTCTGTTGCACCAGTATAATGCTATTTACAAGGTTAATTTTGTCTTAATCAGGTCATGAGATGTAAACAGATATATCGGAGTTACTAAAATTAGCAGCGTTGTATTTGATGACATGATGAAGTTGTTAAAAACTGCTTTGATGATCAACATAAATTATCAAAACATTTATTATCAGAGAGCTTAGGACTGCGATAGCAACAATATATGTAATGCCAACTGTACCCTATTAGTTGGGAGTTGTTCCCGCCAACATCGAAACTGGACTCAGGTACGAGATCCCCTTCGGGTTGGTTATGCAAGGAGCTATTATGTGCAAGTGATGGTATCAAGCTCTAGTCTGTCGTGGCGCTGTCCTTGTGTATTCTGTGTGGGTGGTGGTATCAAGCTCTAGTCTGTCGTGGCCGTGTGTATTCTGTGTGAGTGGTGATATCAAGCTCTAGTCTGTCGTTGCGCCCTCCGTGTGTATTCTGTGTGAGTGGTGATATCAAGCTCTAGTCTGTCGTTGCGCTCTCCTTGTGTATTCTGTGTGAGTGGTGATACCAAGCTCTTTTCTGTCGTGGCGCTGTCCTTGTGTATTCTGTGTGAGTGGTGATATCAAGCTCTAGTCTGTCGTGGCGATCTCCTCGTGTATTCTGTGTGAGTGGTGGTATCAAGCTCTAGTCTGTCGTTGCGCCCTCCTTGTGTATTCTGTGTGGTTGGTGGTATCAAGCTCTAGTCTGTCGTGGCGCTCTCCTTGTGTATTCTGTGTGAGTGGTGGTATCAAGCTCTAGTCTGTCGTTGCGCCCTCCTTGTGTATTCTGTGTGAGTG